AGGCTTTAGATTCTCAGTGCTGTGCTTTAACCCGCTGAGCCACCAGGGAGGGCCTATTCCTGCTTTTTAACATGTTTGAACTTTCTGAATCTTTCCATAAACTCTGAATGGAATAAGTATGGGGTTTTTGTAGAATGTGATCATTTTCCCAAGAGCTCATTGGCTGAGGTTTCATGCTATGAGATGTAACTTGAAGTTCTAATCGTGAAAGTTCTAGATAAGTTTTCCAAACATATTTCTCTAAGGTTAAGACAGCTATTGCTGAGAAAAAAAAGTCCCATACCTGTGGTAGAATTGGGGAGCCGTTTTTTTGCACTTCCTATAGATATTCTCTGTTGCAGGGCATCAAAAAAGGACTGTGGAATGTGAAACACCAGTGGCTCTGGTTTGCCTACAGGAAATAAGAAAAAACTCATTTAAAGAAACTCTGTGCTCTCTGATTTGTAGGGAGAGGTGGAAGACATGGGACTGAGAACAGTAACTACTAAAAATACCACTGAGTTTTTTTTAATACAGAGGCTAAAAGAAGGCTTTGATGGATCTTTATGAGTCAAGCACTGTCACCAGCCCTACATGTGATCTCTTGCAACATTAAAAATACACCAGACCTTTGTCACCCACCAAGGATAACCTTTTAAATCCCTGATTCTGTAAACATTACCCTATCACAGACATTTCCCTATGAACTAAGATGAAATGAGAATAATGAGCTGATTTGAGAAGGTCAACTTGACTTCTATCTCTAAGCAACTGCAATTTAAACCCATATTTAAGCAAACTAAATGCAGACACTCACAAGGCCAGGAGCCTACAAGGCAGAAACTACAAAGTCAAGACACTATTTATCCAATAAGCATCAGCCTTATTTTTTTCTCTGAATATACTGTGAATGTAATCTCAAGATAGGTAAAATTGGGTCTTCCTGGTGGCACACGGGGTTAAAATGCAGCACTATGAAGCTATCCACAGCCATTGCAGGATAAGTTAGATTCCAGACCAGTGAGCTGACCCACATGGCACAGCAGACCACTCCTGCCTGCCTGCTGCTCCCCTCAGCAGTGTATTTAGGTCACTCAGTCTGTTCTGCCCCCCACTCTGTCTCTGGTGAATCCTCTCACCTCACCCCACACCTCTGGCCTGTACCCTAGTTCTTGTATGCATAAATAAATACACCTTAAAGTAAAAAAAAGGTAAGTAAAACACTTGAAAATATTTATCAAACCTCTAAAGAAACTTGCAAGACACTAGTGAAACAAAAACTGAACAGAAAGGGTGTTCATGAAAGGGGTCAAGGAAGTCTAGTCTTCCTTAAAAATTCTGCCAAAGCGGGTAGGGAAAAGAAATTCTGCCCAAGGTGCTAACTAGCCCTAGCAGAGAGAAAACATCAACATCCAGAATCACAGGTATAAAACCTGTAATTTCTACTGGCCTGGGCAAAACCTTTACTATCTCTTAAAGACTCTTAAAGTTCAGATGCTTTTTAGAAACAAAGAGCGTGCCAAGAAAAATTAAATGAAACGTTTTCTAGAATTCCATATAAAGACTAGAATACCTTAAATTGACTTTGCCTCCTTTATTTAATTCAAAATGTCAATGCCAAAACTGCCACTACTTGAGAGCCACTAAAATATTAATATCCGGGCAGTTTAGAGAGGTTACCACCTCAAGGTTTTTAAAAATCTTCCATCCTGAAACTAGATAATGGGCTATTAAATTTATTTGATTACTTTTTCTTTAGTTCTAAAAGAAGTGATTAACTCACCAGAATTCAATTGATGTATTAGAGGTAGGCTTACAGGTTAATCTAGAAAAGCCCTCATGAACAGGTTAATCTAGAAAAGCCCTCATGAAAGATAAGACTCAAATTCTAGGAAAGAGCTGATGTACATTTTTAACAAAACTGGTAGTAATGGAGCAAGTGCAGGGGGTATTAGGAGAATGGAAGGACTACTGTAAAAGTTTCATTTTCTGTTTGGGGAGGCAGGTTAGTAGGGTATTAGGCATATTATTTCAAATAATACATAAAAATTTTCCAGTTAAAATAGGATTTTGATCTTTAAGGAAACAAACCCAAAGTCTGGATTCTCCCAGGTATGTGGAGTAGACCTCTTCTGTCTTGCCCGCTGCTCCCCTCAGCAATGTATTTCAGCAGATCTGCCTATTCTACTCCCCACTGTGTCTCTGGTGAATCCTCTAAACCCCCCACAGCTCTGGTCTATACCCAATTCTTGTATGAATAAATAAATAAATCTTTAAAAATAAATTGCAACATATTGAGCAAAAAACATCAAAATTATACGAGCTCTGTAAGCATGCCATAAGGGGTATTTGCAGATCAATAATGTATTATTTGGCAAAAGACTCAATAAAAGAGAACATTATCATGCAGGGTAACAGGTATATGTGTATAGTAGCAGGTTTTATTATTTGGAAACAGGAACAGAACTGTTCCATGCAGATAGAGTGTAGAAATTATATCCATAGAAGATATAAGTTAATATTTCCACTTAGCATGAGGAAGACCTTCTTCAGCTATCACTAACAGTTATGAGTTGCCTCAAAATACAGTGAGTAAGAATAAATAGCTGGGACTGCATCAAATTAAAAAGTTTCTGAACAGCAAGAGAGACACTACACAAAACAAAGAGACACTCCACCGACTAGGAGAAAATTTTTGCACATAATACTAATGACAAAGGACTGGTCACAAATGTACACAAAGAGCTGATGAAACTCAACAAAAATAAAGTGAACAACCCAATCCAAAAAATGGGCAGAAGAGCTTCAAAGACACTTCTCCAAAGAAGAAATGCAGATGGCCAGATGTTCAATATCACTTATAATAAGGGAAATGCAGATTAAAACCACAATGAGATACCACCTCACCCCAGTGAGAATGGCACATATTAAAACAACTAGCAACAACAGATGTTGGTGAGGATGTAGAAAAAAAGAAACTCTCCTATACTGCTGGTGGGAATGCAAACTAATACAACTACTATGGCAAACTGTTTAGAGGTTCCTCAAACTGCTAAACATGGAGCTTCCATATGACCCAGCAATCCCACTCGTAGATATATACCCAAAGGACACAAAAACACTGATTCAAAAGGACACCTGCACCTCCATGTTTATTGCTGCTTCTATTTACAATAGGGAAAACATGGAATCAACCCAAATGCCCAAAAATAGATGACTGAATTAAAAAGATGTGGTACATATATACAATGGAATATTTCCTAGCAATCAAAAAAGATAAACTCGTGTCTTTTGCAGCAACATGGATGGACCTGGAAGGGATCATACTTAGTGAAATAACCCAGAAAGTAAAAGAAAAAACACCATATGGTTTCATTCATAGCAGAAGCATAAGGGATCAGGAAAGGGAAAAAAAAAAGAGATTAACAAATGTAATAGAGTAAAAATGAAGACAATGAACAACTATAAACTAGACACATTTTATGGGGGAGGGAGGAGGAATGGGATAGGAACTGGGGTGGGGATCAGAACTGGACTGTGGTGATGGCACCTGGGTGAATTGGTGATAGGAGGCCCATGGGGATTATATCTGAGATGGAAAAATGCACAAAATGAAGAATGATGTAAAAAAATAAAAAACTTGGCCCTCCCTGGTGGCGCAGCGGGTTAATGCACAGCACTGAGAATCTAAAGCTGCTTCCGCATGAGTTCGATTCCCGCCTCCCCCGGAGAAGCCTCTCACCGCCCCTGAGCCTCTGGCCTATACCCCAGTTCTGTATGCACAAATAAATAAAACTCAAAAATAAATAAATAAAAACTTAATTAAAAAAATAAAATTAAAAGTTAAACAACAACAACAAAAAAGCAGTGAGTACTACATTTTGGAAAATGCCTGGGAAACCATTCATCAGGGGTGACCATGAACTGGCTGGTCTGCTCTGACTGCTGAAGTACTATGAAGCTATGACAACCCAAATCCACCTTGTGTTTTCCAATCTTCCTTAGAATGTGCGTATTTTATATAACTTAGTCTCACATGTTCAGATTTTTCTCTAAATTATTACCTCCTCTTTAATTTTAAGTTTTGGGGTTACAGTGATATACTAAAGTTTTAGTATCTCTGTCACCAAACATACATGCTTGCATACACATCTGTGTGTACAGACACAGGAACATCTCCCCCCCAACCCCTGCCAAGATCAAGGCTATATACCTTTATTTATAATTGGCTGTGCTTTTCTCCTCCATCTATAAATTCATTTTGCTGGTCCTGCATTTTAATTTTTCCTTCGTTTCATTTAGATTTTTTACTTTTTTATGTCTCAATGCACTTTGGATTGAAGTCCAATTTCTTTTTCTATCAAAACAAAGTAGAACTAAAATACAGTTACTTTAATTTCCCTTACTTCCAGCAACAGCTCAGGTGGGTGACAATACTTACCATCAAACTGATAGTGCATGGTTTGATGTATACGTTCAGTGACACTGGCGAGCCAGTCTTGGAAGGATAAGGTCACTTGTGCCTCATCTAATAGCTGACCACAGGCTGGAAAAGAAAAATAAAAACTCTCTAACTATTACAGAATAAATAGGTGACTAAAGTTTGAAAAGCTAATAATTTATACTAAAAAAAAAAAAGAACAAAAATCTGAAATTTGAAGAAATTAGATACATTAAATGAAATGGAAGATTCTAGATTAAAAAAAAAAACATTAAAAAAAAGAAAAACTATGAGAGACAAAAGCTGAAGATTATTAACCACAGAAAGTATGTAGGCCTTCAACACTGAATTGCCAGTTAAAGAATGGTGTTACAATGACTGTTTTAGAGATCCAGAAATCGGTCCTATTCCTATTCCCAAAGAATGCCTACTATTCCATTCTATTTCTTCTCCTAAAATGTGTTCATAGATGTATACATCCTCTTTTATAGGGAGATAATGATGCCATTACTATTATTCATCAGAAATTAAAATCCTCATAGGTAAATACATATAGCAATAATTTGAACTAAGTTATTTTGTCATTGTGCCATAAGGAATGATGAAAATTTGTTAAAAATCTGATACTGTTGATCTACTTGCTTCCTGATATCCTCAAAACATTTATTACTAAAATGAGTAAGTTTTAAATTAATTGATATATGACCTTGTGTTATTTACTATGTATGTACTGATTGATCCTAACTTCAAAACTAGAGTATGAGGGCAGGAATAAGATGTCTGGTTTTCAATCACCCACCCATATTTATATGATATTTAAGAACATAGTGACCTCCAGATATAAAGTTTAATTGTTCTATATAGAAAGGTGAGCACACACAGTATTAAAGTTACATTATTCTGTCTCATAAATTCAGAACTATAGACATGCTATCACTTTCAGATATGTTTTCAAACATCACTAACTTTGGAGAACAGACTAGATTTGTCTTTCTTAACAAATATTTATCACTGTATAATTTCAAAAACTATTTTTTTTTAAGATTTATTTATTTATCCATACAGAACTGGGGTACAGGCCAGAGATGCGGAGGGTGAGAGGATTCACCAGCAACAGAGTGGGGAGCAGAACAGGCAGATCGACGAAGTACACTGCTGAGGGGAGCAGTGGGCGGGTCAGGAGAGGTCTGCCGCGCCATGTGGATCTCCTCCGGGGCAGGCGGGGATCGAACTCATGAGGAGTTGGCTTAAGCTTCTTAGTGCAGTGCTTTAACCTGCTGCGCCACCAGGGAGGGCCTCAAAAACTATTTTTTAACTCTGATTCTCTACACTAATGTTATATGGGTGCTAAACAACAAGTGGAAAGTATCCTATAAAATAACTGCTGTAATAATATGTCAGTGTTGTTTGTTGCATATTATTTAAAATCTGTAATTTAGTTCTGAATATGATTTGAGAGGAGTGGGGCAGGACAGACCTCAGCGTCAGTGATTACTAGTGTTTGGCAACATGCAACATTTCTTTCGATTATATTGCTTTTGGCTTCTTTAGGATGATTTGTCATCTTTTTAGCCTACTGTGAAGAAGGGGAAACTTACCCTGCCTTTTTATTGAAGAAGCGACCACTGGCTTTTTTAGGCCACTTTTCCTTAGATTACTGCTTACTGCATCTTGAGGCAATAGTGAACTGTTCATCTGTGCACCTAGAGCACAAATCATTGCTGTCTTTAATACCATGTCTGCATATATAAATTGATTTGAAATTCACTTCTAAAACATGTAAAAAAAACCCTTTGGTAAATTCTAAGTTAGCTTTAGTGTCTAGAAGAAAGGCTAATGTGATATACAGTAAGTCTAATGTTAAAAGTCTGTGCCATTTTATGTTCCTATATATATATATATA